ACATAACATAAAAAAATATGTAGGTACAAACCTTTAATAAAAGCTCGTGCTGGAGAATCACAGATGAAGCATCTGATTTTTACAGTAATGTTCTTGTCTTCTATTTGAAGCCCTTTTTGTAAAATACATTTAGTCTCATTTACAAAATCTTCTAAATAAAATTTCAAACTTTTTGGTTTTCCTATACCATAATACACGCCAATCACAAAAGGTTTTGCTTCAACTAAATGAATGTTTGCTAATATTGGCCAAAATTCTTTTTTAGAACTTTTGTAGATTGGCAATCCATCAATGTTAAAATTCAGATAAATAGTATTAGGTAAATTAGTTAATCTACTTAAAATATATTTCAAAGGTTCGGAAATTCCATTATGCCAATATTCGCCATCATCATCTAGTTTCTTTATAACAATATTTTGTGGTGTCTCTAAAAGAGTTCGAGGATCTTTTGGTAAAATCATGCCAAATCGGTCATTTAAGATGGATAGCAAATCTTTTATAGCAGTTTGAGTAATATTTTTCTCAATCGCCCATGCTCTCAGTTTTTCACTTAAATAAAGATTCTTAATATATTCACTCGTATCATCCTCATCATCAGTACTAAATGAGTAATCATATGGGTCCTCTTCAGAAATATTAATACTTGCAGTTGCGATATCACTTTTATTACATACGGAACCCTTCCAGCAAAACTCCCACTTGACCACTCTTGCTTTCATTCCTAATCAAATTATCTTGTGATAGGTTTGCATCTTCAACGTTGTAATTTAAAATATTATGATAATCTTTCAAAATTTTTCGTCTATTTCCACCTGTCCTACGTTGAATTTTCGAACTTTTAAAACACTTTTTAGTCGAGCTAGGTTGCGACGCCATTTTATCGATTTGTGTAAGCGAACACGTGACCCAATAGAGTTATTAAAGTGATAATAAACCCAAAAATGCAACTTAAGGTAATACAAAGACTATAGTTGACACTATGGGATCTATTTATAGGGGGAAATACCTCTAATATACTTCCCTAAGTTATACACAGGAGTTATGTATCGCCTTAGGAGTTTGGTTTTACAAAAGAGTTAAGAAACACACTTGTAGAGCTAATAGTGTTAATTGCTCCCTTTGCGCGACTACCAGCGCTACAAATGAGTTTCTAATAGCTGACCTAGAACTCGAAGAGTTAATAGTAAATGCTAATTTCTTATATAGATCTTATAGTGGTAAGATTCGCTCAAAGCTATAACACAGAAGCTTGGGTCTGTATTGTAGGGATAATAATCACTGCTGTACGCCTTTAGCCTCCATACATTGCACTTATAGACTTGCTGTGTCACTATAAGCGTTACATTTTATTACTAACTCTCTTTTGTCACCACAACCTGTAATTACAGCTACTAATCAACCTTTATAACACTTTAGGTTCTAAAGTAAGCTCTATTTGCAGCTCTAATGTTTATTGGGATATTTCAAGAAAACATACAAATTGGCCCTTTTAAAACGACAACTAGCTGCGGAAGACTTGAAGCTTGACTTTCTGGGAAAGAGGGGTGACTGAAAATCAGCGTTGGGCAGGTTCATAATAATTCAGCATGCTCTTGCTCAAAATAAGCTTACCCACTACCTGGGAAGATTCCGAAATCAAACTAGATATCGCTACGGTATGTTCTTGATTTTGGAAATGACTGTCTTTGGTCCATTGGTTTCCTGCAAAAATCAACTTTTGTTAGGGTCGCCATCTAGTGGAGGTGCTTTTTAATGCTTTCGTTTTTTAAATACTTTCTCATTGTCTCTTTATGTGTAAAGGCCACTAACGTGAAATTGGCGAAAAGAAGGCGATCTGAAGCATGCAAAATCATAGATAAAAATATGCTTACTTAATATTAAGTTATTTCTACTTAAGCTGTACTTTATTCCGGGTTAGTGAAAACGAGCTTAAATATTTGTTTAATAGCAAAGATAACATATGCAACGAAGGAAATAAAAAACTGCCTAATAAAATACTGCATGTATTTAAAAAAAAGGAAGCACTAAATAACACTCCACTAGATAGGGACTTTATCAAAAGCTGAATTTTGCAGGAAACGAACGGACCAAAGATAGTTATTTCCGTTCCATTTAACTAACATATTAAAAAAGAAAACTAAAATTCGCAAAGTTCTATACATATACGAAAAAGTACAAATAGAATATGAGTTGTTTAATTAACTTTGAAATTAATTTACTAATATACATGAAAGAAAACCGGAAGGGTCGTCATGGAGAAATCAAGAAAGTACCGTAGCGACATCTAATTTGATTTCTTTAACAATTTTTTTAATACTTCCTCATAGTACCGTTGCCATAACTTAAAAAAATACTTAATATACCAATAATATCTATGCTTATTACATTTCAAGGTTACTTTGAAGTTGAGAGTGAGAGATATCAAATGTGGCCCATTTTAATGGCCCAACTGTAAGTTGGCTTTACAACTTTAGGAGTTATAGTCGACCAAATATATTTAACTCGAAAATTTCTAAATTATTCATCGGATGATAAGAGATGGGCGACTATTAACGAGACTTTAAAAAACTTAAATTTTAAAAGTTCTAAACTTAGATATCAATACAAATACGAAAAAGTACAAATAGAACATGACTTGTTTACTGAGTTTTGAAAACTAATTTACTTTCAAACATGAAAGGTTTTCTTTCATGTTTGGGTTAGTTTGGAGTAATCAAGAACATACCGTAGCGACATCTAGTTTGATTACAGCAACAATTTTTTTTAAATACTTCCTCATTGAGATAGCAAGAACAAGTTGTTCATCAAGTTGCTATGAGGATCAGGCATAGAATCTTGCACAAGCAAAGCATCTGGCTGTTTATCTCAAATTCCGAAATAAGCACAGTTATCAAATATAGACAAGTAAAATGATGGCTTCATTATTAAAAGACTTAATAAAAGCGTGGCGTTGCAAGGCGAGTCGATTCATTATGTCGATGCATTAAAATGGAAAGAAGAGCAACTGGACTATTTATATATGAAGACATAATGCGCACGTTATTCATAGAAAAATTGTTAGAATTTTCTTATTTGGTTCTATCTATTGGGCAGGCCTATGCTGGAAGTGGGGAAGTTGATAAACTAATGATGATGATATAAAGGTTACTGGCAGATTTTTAATTAAGATTAGCTTAATACTCCCGTATAGCAGGCCAGTGTGCACACAGTACCCTCGGACTACGCGGGTTTTTATACTACGAGAGTGGATTGCAAAGTTCGCGGCCTCAGCAAGAAATCAATATAAAATATAAGCAAAAGTAATTTTCTTTTTACACGTACTCTCCACTTAACTCTATGCACTTCTTCCATCTGGTTTCCAACGAATACAGTCATAAAAAAAGTTTTTTCAAGGCCTTCAAAAAAGTCACCCACCGCAGCTTCGACCTCCTCATTTGATGAAAATTTTTGACCTCCAAGGTGTTTTTTTAGGTTTGGGAATAAATGAAAGTCTGAAGGTGCTAAATCAGGGGAATAGGTGGAATGGGGCAGAAATTCAAAGCCACAATCACGAATTTGAGCCATAGATTCAACAGACGTGTGACCGCGTGCATTATCCTGATGGAACAACACTTTCTTGCTGAGTAATCCCGGCCTTTTCTCTTTGATTGTTTCGCACAAGCGACGTAAGAGGGTGCAGTAATAAGCCGAGTTTATAATTTCACCATGTGCAAGGTTAGCATCCCAAAAAACTGACGCCATCACCTTGCCAGCTGACAAAATTGTTTTGGCTTTTTTTGGAGGCGGTTCATCACGTTTTTGGCTTGTTTCACGTTTACTGCTTGGATTTCTGTTTTGATTCTGGGGTGTAGTGGTGTATCCAAGTTTCATCCATTGTTACACATCTGGATAAAAAATCTTGTGGATCAGCTTCAAACATTTTCAAACAGTCACGAGAAATTGTGAGGCGTATTCGTTTTTTTTCGACTGAAAGCAATCTGGGTACCCACCGCGCAGAAACCTTAGAAAATCCAAGTTCATGGACTATGATGTTTTGTGTTCGTTCATACGAGATGCCAATAGTGTCAGCAATCTCCCTGATGGTCAATCTCCGATCAGTCAATATTAGATCACAGATTTTCTCGATGTTTTCTTCAGTCGAAGACGTCCTAGGCCGGCCAGAGCGAAGGTCATCTTCAATACTCTCTCGTCCGCTTTTAAATTCAGCAACCCACTTCTTCATAGTCATATACGACGGAACAGATTCTCCCAATGTTGTTGACATATCTTCGTGAATCACTTTTGGAGTTAGTTTTTATTAAACAGATATTTGATGAGGGCACGTTGCTCAATTTTCTCCATTCTTTAAAAATGCTGCACAAAGGCTCACAAAATTCAGTCTAATATAACTATTGCGATAGAATTTTACAATTTGCAATTTACAATCAGAGAGTAAACTAATCGAATGAAGTCAGTTACATGAAAATAGTTAAAGTATTTGTGTGTTAGGCCACGAACTTTTCAATCCACCTATAAATTGCAATACTCAATGATAAAGGACAGGATTGCATAGTTAAATGGTATTTGCCTGAAAAAAAAAAATTAAAAGTTTGGAAGTCTCAAGTCAAGCAAGTTGTTCAACATACAACGCCTTGCTCTAGCAGATCAACTTTTGCAAATGTATAAGAATCCGGAAAATGTCCCGCGCTCTACACAAGAACTTCTGAAGAAAACTGATACATATTCAGCATTATATACATACATATCCTCAACCCTCAAAGATATTTAACTTAAGACTTGGCATTAGCCTGCACCTAAAATAAAATCAAAAGACTTAAAATATGACATGGCTGTATGGATAAAAGTCCTTTGCCTACCCTGAAATGGATGAAAAAAAAAAAAAAAAAAAAATCAAGCAAGTTGTCAAATGTCAATCTGAAAAAGTGTGTCTTCTTTTCTGTGGGCTCGGCTAAATTCTTGGAATTCTGTATTGCAAAAACTAACTTAGTTTTCAGTGATAACATACCACACCTTTCAAAACAGTGTCTTGATTTATTGTGAAGACTTACTTAGGAGAGCCATTTTGATATTGCTTCGTATGATTATGTTCATTTAAAGAAATTCCAATGCAAGTGCAACGAAAGCATAACGCTCTGCCGCAACGCGAATATGAGGATGGCGTGGACTCGAAATTCAATATGATATCTTCGAAGGCAATGGAAACTCGTTATTACGAGGGATGTGGACGGGAGGGTCCCATCCGATGCATATTTCTGGGTGAATTTCATCCGGTAGCAGGTCCAAAAATATCGTGTCAGGTTAGTCAGCTAGAATTCTTAGTTAAGATTAGTTTAAGACTTTTTCTCATTATTTTTTTTTATAAATACACAAAAAACATACGCAAATCAATTGACGTTTAATATAATAAAAAAAATCCAGCACTTATGATGCAAGCTTGAGCATTTAAGCCAACCATGCGCAATTGCTGTAGGTTATCGAGGACGAACTTTATTATACACTATCACTTAGTTAAGCATTTTAGATTTTGAATATTGTTTCAGTTTCCTGAAGACTACATCTCAAAAGAATTATTTGATACCATTAGTGCATATATTATACCCAAGCCATTAATTCAGAAGAGCACTATGACCATGTGAGTATAGTTGTAAGACTGAATTGATTATTAGAAATTGTTTCTGATAATATGTGATGATTTCTTTTGTTTCTGTTTTCAGTAATGCTATGGGTCATAAGATAGTAGGTTATCCAATCAGAATCGACAACTCCAGATATGAACGTAATGTGTATGTCTTCAACTTATGCTTTGTGTGTGATAGTTGGTCAAAAACTGTCCAGTATGAACCAGTAGTGAAGAAACTTGGTGAACATCTGGTAATAATTAATATCTATAATCATTAATAATCAGTACTAGAATCAAAACTACACTTTCTCATATATAGGGAGTAGAATGGAAAGGTGCAGTAGAATTTTAGAGAGACACGATGTATCTGATATGTGAAAGAATAGACCAGAGTAAGAGTTTTTTAATTTAATTATTTTATTTTTAGTAAGGTAACATTTATCAATAGTTTTTCATGCAGAGTACATTACTAAACATATGGCTTGTCGAAATACTTCTTTTTATTAATTTATTGCAGTTTTTTATTGCTCATAAGATGTCTTTATTTATTTTCAGTTCTTAAAGGAAGTAAAATTGATTTTGACATAAAAGCTGCCAAGTTGTGTTATTTTATATTTTTATTTCAGTTATTTATCAACGGTAGACCAGAAGCTGAATGCAGCTCCGATACTGTCAACTTCTTTCGAGAGATTGTTAAATGAAAAAAGTTAAATGTGTTCTCTGTTTACACTTCACTTAATTTAAAATTTTGCTGTAATTAACTTGATTGAAAGACCATTTTGAAAAATCGAATATCATATTCAAATTAGTCTTGTCATGTTATTTTGACAAATGTACATAAAAAAGGTATTTGGTAGTAATCCCATAAAAACTATCATTCTAATGTAAATTACTATGAAAACTTGAAACAACAATAGCAGTGTTTGACATGGAAATAATTTGTATCACTTCCATGTAAGGTTACCCCTATATGTTACTTGAAATCCTCAGATGCATACTGCTTTTTAATTATTGTATAATAAATAAAAAAATAAAAATTAATTCATAGTAAATATAATTATTTTACACCTTTGATTAAAAAAAACAAAAATTAACATTAAGCCACTAGCAGGTTAAAAATCGCAACTTTTCATGTGCATGATATATGTATATCAGATAAATATCAAATATTGGACATTTTGATACTTATTATAAATATCTGACCTTTGGAATAAATATGATTGACATGCAATCAAAAAACCTAACTAAGTCTGACTTTATCCACTTGGCAACCCTTACTTTCAAGGTGTTTAGTGGTCTGAATAAACAAAGTCAATATTTACATAAAGATAAAATACTATCCTATCTTTTAAAGAAAATTTTAATAGCTTTATCTCTGCTGTGACCTTTTATTTATGGGATCCTTGTCAGATACATAGTGACTTCCTAAAGTGCCCCATTACATCTTTCTGTTACATGCATATGCCATTTACTTATTTAATAATCTTATTTGGCCATTTATTTATACATAGTGTGTTTAGTGTTTATGACACATTGTGTTTATGACACTCACAGTTATTGCTCTCACTCATCCAAATCACTCTTTCACTTAAATCACTTGGTATAGATACAATAATTTTTAAAAGCTTTATTTAACTTGCAATTAGTATTATTAAATGTTGCAATCCTATTTGCAAATCAAGTTTTATACAATAATTTATAAAAGCTTTATTTAACTTGCAATGAGTATTATTAAATGTTGCAATCCTATTTGCAAATCAAGTTTTATAAATATTGATTTTCTTGAATGGTCATTATTGATATCCTTTACTTCATCTTAACTTTCCATTTTCAGACGATAATGGAAGAAGAAACAAGATTTGTATCAAGCGGATCAAGCAAGCTGCCTACGCTTCTAGCTCATTTGCTTCATGATCTCAATACTCACCGCAAGGCTACATTAGTTGGTAAGTAATAGGTTTTAGTTATCACAATAGCATAAATCTTTCATGCAATGCCTTAGCGAGTGTTGTACAGTATTCCATGTGTGACTGCATTAAATCAGGGTCCTGATTATGATGTTCACATAATAGTATAGGAGTAAAAACTCCTAGAATTCCAGTAGTAGCAAAAAATTTGTTATTTTATTATTTTAACCTGCCCACCTTCTTTATTCACCTCTTCTTTCTTCTTTATTACCATTATTTAAGAAAGGCAGACAGTTGCAACAACTGATGTGGCTTTTATACTTTGTGTGTTTTGTGTGATATAGCTTTGTTTTATAAATTGTCTAGTCTATTTTTAAATTTCTTTGTAGTCTGTGCTGAAACTACATTAAATTATTTAGATTCCTTATTTCCAAGATAAGATTAGCTCTATAGGTATACTTAATAGGTTAAATAGTAGTAAGGGTATCTAATAATCTTTTTACTAAATAATATATTATTATATTATTAATATCGGGTTGGCACAAAAGTAATGAGACACTTGGTTTAAGTTTTTACTTTTTTATTATTATTACAATAAAAAAAGTTTAGTCAATGATGTAATTACCATTAGTATCTAAGACTTCTTGCCAACGATCCGGCAAAGTTTGGATGCCTTTTGCCCAGAACTCTGATGGCTGTGCCTCGAAAAAGTTGTTCAACTCTGCCTCTACGTCAGAGAAATCATTAAATTGTTTACCCCGCAAATGCTGTTTCAGGGCTCTAAACAAATGATAGTCTGATGGGGCGAGGTCTGGGGAATAAGGTAGGTGGGGTATCGTCTCCCAGCCCAAGTTCTCCAACTGCCGGCGAACCACAGATGCGACGTGAGGTCGAGCGTTATCGTGCAGTAAAACTATATTGACTCGTCTTCGTCGTTTTTTCTTGATAGCGGCAGATAATTTGGTAAGGTGGGTTGAATATTTGTCAGCGTTTATAGTTTCATTGTGTAATAGCTCATAAAACAGTATGCCTTGCGCATCCCAGAAACAGCAAAGCAGAATTTTTCGGCGGTTCTTTTGACTCGGCTTCGGTTGAGTTGGTGGCGTTTCTTCTCGAGGCAGCCAAAAAGCACGACGTGTATCGTTCTCGTAATAAATCCATGATTCATCTCCAGTAACCAGATCTGACAAAAACTCTTTACGTCGGGGTCGCAGCAAAAGTGACTGACAGATAGCGACACGGATTGCACGACTGGCGTCTGTAAGGATGTGCGGTTCCCACCGAGCCAAAACTTTTCGATAACCAAGCTCATGCAGATGGTGTTCCGTGGCGTGGTGACTACATTTAAGTGCTTCCGCTAATTCACGAGTGGTAGCATCCGGATTCAACTGCAGTTCGCGGCGCAAATCGTCATCATTCACTGCGGGTGGTCGCCCTGAGCGTGGCTGACTTTCAAGGCTCCTGTCTCCTGATTTAAAACGGTCAAACCATCGGGACACCGTCGCATGGCTTGTACTTCCAGCGCCTAATGCATTGTTGATATTGTCAGCCGCAGCCCGCGCACTGTGGCCTAACAAGTACTCGTATAAGTATAGTGTTCGAACTTGTCGCTCGTCCATTTTTCTTCAAACTGACTAAACAAATCGCGAGCGCGGCTTTATATACCCTACACCAGAAGTATCTAGAATGTTCTACAACATTCTAGAATATTATCGAAAAGATTGATTTTAAAAAGGAAATGTTATAGATTTTTCTAGTGTGTCTCATTACTTTTGTGCCAACCCAATAGTTAGTAAAAAGATATTTCTCTGTAACAGTTTTCCAAAGAAAGGTTTATTGCACAATAAGTAGTTATGAAAGACCTAGGAAAATGTAACATTTTTAAAAAGAGTCCAATATTTGTTTCTAGAATTCTAGTGCTAAGGCAAGCCCAGTATGGGGAATCAATCTGTAAAGTAATTTTTCTACAGACCTTTGTCTTCATATCTGAATGAATACTTAAAAAAATATATTTATTTCATAAAAAAAGCAATTGTTTGCTGTATTATGATTTAAAAATTTCAATATTGTGTAACATATAATAATAATGAATGATGTGATGCTTCACAAGTTTAAAATAGTTATTTTTCAAGAGAAATAAAAGCATAGACACCCTTTATATATGAAAGAAAAACATTGTCTATGATTTTGTATTTTTTATAGATTTGTCTGTTTTTGTAAAATCAATACTTGTGTTCGAGGCGCTTCTTTCAAAGCTTCTTTCAATAGATTAAACCTAGCGAGCTCTACCTGGGCGAAATGCAGCGCGCGCATGCATCTTTCAATCAATTAATGTTACAGAGTGCGCGCGCTGCACCCAGTCTCGATGCACTTTTTGCTCAGGGGATAATCAATAAACCAAGAGTTAAGTACTTGTCGCGCCGGCCTGAGAGCAGTTAACGTTAAATTGAAATTTTTCCTTTGACATACAATTTTAAATATACTTGTACTTTTACAATATGTAATATTGGAGAGTGACTAAACGAGTGTTTCATGCATCTCAACTGGGTAATATCTTGCTTTGCGAATGTGTATTTTGCTTTGAACCTTGACAAAGAGGCTCTTGTGTTTTTGATTTGAAGTTTAATATAGTCCTCTTCTAAAGTATAAATTATTTTTGTATTCAAATTCTCTTCTTAGTTTCAATTTAAATAGTATTATTGTAGAGATAATAAATAAGTGTTAGATAGTTCTTTGTTCTCTTAAATGATAAGGATTGATTATTTGAGAGCAAAGGCCAATTAGAATGTATTTGAAATATTATGAAGAAACAGAAAGACTACTCACACACCACAAATGATTTTCTTACGCAGTTACACAATAATATTTATTTATCTATATAGTTACAGTTGCAAAAAAAACTTAAATATGTACATATATTAATACGTCAATAATTACACTTATTAAATTGCTCATAAGTCCTAAACATAATACGACATATTGTTTTCTTTACTAGCTTGTTTTATTACATAAATTTAATTGATCAAAAAAGTGCGATACTTGTTTATCTTCTATCATCCTGCATTATGTGAATCCAACATATCCTTGGGATGAGACCTGGTGACCTATAGGTCAGGTTTATCAAAACCTCAGTTAAGCACCAGCCTCTCACAAACTATACGATTTGGTTTCTTCTTGTTGTATGTATTTAGATTAAGTTTGTGAAAGAAATAAATATTTTTTTATTTTTATTATTTATTTATCAATTTGTTACATAAACATAATAGTTACATATGGGTATAAGCTGGCAATGTGATGCGTGTTACAAATGTTTTAATATAAGTTGTGCATGGCTTAGAATCTAAGTTCATTTTTATTTGTCTTTTAACACCATTGTTGAAACCTTAAGGCATCTCACATTAACTGAAAGTATCCTATATGGTATTCAATAACAACCCCTGCAAAAAGACGTTATTTTCATTTGATATTAAGCTATACCGTATATCCTTTCTTAATAAAATTTATAAAATCGACAAGGAAATATTAAGACAGTTCTTGTTTCTTTTTTTAAAGCAATGTTATTTTAGTTACTGTTCTTTAACTGTACTTTCTAAAGTCAAAAATCGATAGTGTATATCGATTCTCTCATAATCTCAAAAACATCTTCGCACTATGGTGCCTAGTATGAGTATCATTACGTTTGCGTAAGCATTGTCATATTTTAGTATGGAAAAACCGACACCACGCTTTTACAAGTAACTATCAAAAATTACAAATCTCCATACAAAGTCTTAACGCTCACTACGCTTCAACATAAAATTCAGTAATCCATTACCCATATTCCTTGCCGGACAGGTAGAGCGCCGAAAGTCATGATACTTACACATATTTTGCGCTTCCTTGTCATTCATAACTTATTAATGCTTTCATACAAGCGCACCGCTTGTCATGACTTCTGACCTCAACCTTATTGTAACACGCGAACAATTTGAATGAATAAAGTGTTCTCTGGCATGCTCGACTTAAACATAATTGTGTTGTGTAATCATTCTCCCGTCCGACATTATTTTCACGTGGCCAATCTAACGAAGTATGCCTGTATTTCTTGTTTCTTCGTATTTACGAATATACTAGATCACCTATTCATTATTCCACTGTCACAGATTTTGTTATTAGTTGTCCTGTTCATTTAAGTAAAAATTTGTTTGTAACGTTGAGCTACTCTGTTTTCAATGGTGTTCGTCTAATTATGACATTTTTTTTGTCCAGATACCTGTTAGAATTACTTTGTTAATATGTTTGGGTAGAAAAAAGCGGCAGATTTAATTTAAATTTACGTTACAATTCATTGTCATAAATGTCTAGAATCGGGAATTGTTGTTATCTTAAAATATGGTTGAATTATCTCATTTCGGGCTAGGTGTTATAGCGGCTCCACTTAAGGTCCATGATGAGCGATCACAGGCCATCACCATTGTGAAGAGGGCATGATCGCCTCAATCGCCCATATCGGCGATAATCGTGCATGATCGCCACTGTATCGTACGATTATCGCCAATCATGGGACGGCATAGGCAATCATGCCCTTTAGACAATGGTGATGGTCTGTGATCGTCCATCATGGACATTTGTGTGGAGCCGCTATTACTACCATGGGCAAGAAGAAGAATTTTATAATCGTGATGCAGGTAGCACATCGCCATCTTGTTATTGCTGTAGTCTGCGTCTTGCTGTCGATTGTTAGTACGATAAGATAGATGTCGTTCACAAACGATTCCATAACGAAAATTTATAAATTAAATAACCAGTACCAGATTTTGAATTGGCGAATATTCGTTAGAGTTTGTTGTTTCAATTATTTTTTTTTATTCTGAATAGTCATGAAATGCACAATTATGAATGACAATATTTCGATTCATATGAAGACAGATAACGGAATTTAGAAAGTCCGTCAATTGTCCATTTACAGAATGTATTATCAAAGGTTACAATATTACCAAGACCACCACTATGAATAACTAAAAGTGTTAGTCGGATTTCGATTACCTTGTTTGTGGAACTACCTTGG